CTTGGCAGCTGTGATTCATAAGTGGCTAATTACGGTCACAGTTAATCGAGTGTATTACGAGAAGGCCCCACGTAGGGTGTGTACGAGGGGCTACTGTACTGGTAGTGCCTCAGTTTAAGAAATTGTCGGTTTAGCCACAACAGGATCTTTATTTCCCATATTAAAATTATTTCCTTTTTCTTGTTCAAAATTAATTTAAAATTTTCTATTTTTTGTTGACTGATTACATATTGCTCTATTATGACTTGCTTTTACAACAAAAACATTCTCTAGAATAATTACAAAATTTTCGATTATGGCCCTTTTTAAGGCATTTGAAGCAAAAATTCAATTGTGAGAAACGTTTAAGACGATCAGAGAAAGAAGGATAGACAGTACACATATCATTATAATGCTGTTGTCCACAATGTACAACAACGAAATACATCGTTCGTTTTCACATTATTCACAACTGCTCTAAAGTCCTTCTTTCCACCTTCTCTTAACTTATAAATTTCCTTCTCTTCTTTTATAGATAATGCATCAGTTTCTGCTTTAATTTTCACATATCCATCTAAATCTCTTAATAACTGCTCCGTACCTCCTAATAATTCTCCTTCATTATTCACACCTACTCTTTTTTCCTTATCACTCTTTAACTCAATTAACACTTGTCGCGGCAATTTCTTCTCTATAGCTATTAAAATCATTTCCTGGTAAATATTTTCACCACAACTTTTTAATTGCCTTAGCACCTTATATACTCTGACCACAAACTCTCTAAGGTCAGTAGCTAAATTGCTACAATAAGGTAAATCAATTATATTAATTCCACCACTGGATAACTTGAGTGCTTGCCGCATGCTGTCTAGCATCGGCAGCGTTTATCAATTCATCCAGAAAACCATTTTCCTGGTTGACAAATTTATCATACTTACTTTCCTCTACTTCTAACCTGTTTCCTTGCAAATTCCTTAAAAATTAACCAAACTCCAAATTTTTTTCTTCCATTTTCTTAACGCTACTCTTAATATGACTTGAAAGCGGTACTAATTCCTCCTTAGTTAGAGGTTCCTTTTTCAACAACTTTTCGACTTTGTCTAAGTCTGCTTTCAGTCGTTTCGAGAACCTGCTTATGACTGCTCTTATAGTACCTGATATAATTACTCACTTACTAGTGTGCCCCTCACCCTGGGCACCAAATTCAAATGTTGAGAAACAAAATAATAAATTTAACTTGAATTAACAAATACTAACTTAGAAATTTTTTTCTTCCTAACCTTCCACTAGATTCAGTTTCACACTTTTGCCTCAACACTTAAAATATTATATAACACTTTATTACAACAAATATAAGAACAATTGACTAACCTGTCACTTGTGACTTCTTTACACTCAATAAGCAGCCAAATATAACCGAACAAGTAATATCGAAACTCGCTTAACGAACGCAACAAATCAGCAAGAAGACGTATCAATAATGAATCACAATTTGTACAATTCCTCGCTTTCGCGGGAACTATAAAATCAAACGAAGAAATAGTTACCGGTTTAAGTATA